CTCTGGAAAAGACAAGACCAAGCAAACCCCCAGCGCGCGTGCCCGGGCCACAGGGTTAAAGGGCGAGAGAAGGGGTTGGGGGTTCCCCGCTCATCCCCGCCGGCAGTGAGCACTGTTTAGTGAGCAGTGGTTGCTTTGTCCCAGCCTGAATGCTGAGGCTTTCACCGTGTTCCCCTGAAGTGCCTGGAACTCCTCACGCCCCACAGCCCCACAGCTCCACGCCACTGCCCGGGGCTGGCATTAAAGTCGCCCTGTGGCACCCGGCCAGACGTCATTTATTTATTTTTCTGAAACGCGGTTCTCACTATGTAGATCTGGCTGTCCCGGAACTCAGGGATCCACCCACCTCTGTCCTAAAAACATTTTTTTGGAGGGGGAAGGGGGGGCGGCGGGCTATGTGCCTTGCATCTACCACAGCAGCCTAAGTGTGGAGAAACATACCGGAGTCCCCTTCCCACTGTGGGGACCTGGGGATCAAAGCCAGGTCCTCAGGCTTGGCTTGGTATCAAGCACCCTAAACCCACCTTTTAGTGTGTCCTCATAAAATTGGAAGGGCTGGAGTGGGAGGGCACTTGCCCGGCAAGCCCAAGGCCTTGGGTTTGATCCCTTGCTCCCACACACAAGCCTGAGCATCACTCCAATAGAACGGTCATGCCTATCACCGCCCACGTTTTTGTGATTGCTTTGTAGCAAGATAGTAAGTACCAAGGGTGGCCTGAATGGCAGTCGGACTCTGGCCAGCGTGAGTGTGTCCAGCATGGATCTGGCGATCCTTACCCTTCTCTTACTCCCTCTCCCCTGCTCAAAACTGTTAGGTTACATTCCTGAAGATAGTCACCATTGTAGGGATATATTTGTGACTTATTAAAGCTTGCCTGAGGATTCAGGAAGCAAACCCTTTTTGGCCACTACCTCTCCCTGAGGCTGACTACCAAGATCAGCTATCAAAGTATTGAAGTCCAGCAACCGAAAGCCCCCTTTGGCTCACCTAATTAACATGCCCAACTAAGATTAAACTCATGATCCTAACATCCCCTTTATATCTTTATAGACTGCCATTTTCCTATGTACCATGTCTGTCATCTCCCTTATAGCCAGGGGCAGTCCTTTGTCCCACACTGGGACAAATACCCTGCCCCTTCTCCCTCTTCCTCTGTCTCCTCTCTCTCTCTCTCTCTCTCTCTCTCTATATATATATATATATATATATATCTATAGCTTTCTGAATCCTCAGGCAAGCTTTAATAAGTCACATATATATAAAATATGAATGATCTGTGTCTCTCCATATATATGTGTGTGTGTTTGTGCTGTCCTGGCACTCATTCTGTAGGCCAAGCTGGCCTCGAACTCACAGAGCTCGGCCTGCCTCTGCCTCCAGAGCTCTGGGATTAAAGGCCAGAGCCTCCACCGCCAAGGCCTGCACCATTGTTCCTCTAAATAAATCACAACCTCCAGCAGGTCTCACTTCTCTGGAGACTTGTGTTTAAAAGAAAAGCTGGAGTCACTTCTGTGTCTATTTATCACGGGCCTTAAGGCAGAGAGACGGGCATTTAGGAAGAGGATGGTATTTATGTACCTAAGTCCCACCTCTCATTGCATTGACAGCTCCACACACTAAGACAATCCAGTGACTGTCTCTTGACATTGTGTTTAAATCTTGACAACATAGCAATCCATTTAAAAACTATCACCAGCAATTGTAGTGGGTACCTTGCAGTTACTAATGACAGTGGGTATTTACTTCTGACTTGGTGTGTACATGATCTCATTTAACTGTGAGACTAACAAATAAAAAGAGCAATCAAGAGTGACAGAGAGAGAAAGAGAGATTAAGACAATTGTCCCAGGAGATTGCCGGTGTGTGGATCATTGATATTACTGAGCATGCCTGGTATGCTTGAAGCTCTAGGTTTGATCCCCAGCATCAGGAGGAAAAAGAAAACCGTCCCTAGCCCAGCAGTGATGGTACACATCTTTAGTCCCAGTATTCGGGAGGCAGAGGCAGACAGATCTCCGTGAGTCCAGCCTGGACTACACAGTAAGTTCCAGGACAGCCAGAGCTACATAGTGAGACCCTGTCTTGAAAAAAAAAGAAAAGGAAAAAAAAAAAAAAGGAAAGAGGAACCCACCATGCCCCAGTGACTGGCTGGCGCCTGTTCTAACACTTATCAGCTTGTCTTGCAATGATTTGTTTGTAAAGCTGTTTTTCCATTTCTTAAAGTCCTCTGGGATTAGCCAGTTCCTGGCAAACAACTGAAATCCCCAAATTCGCCAGGTGAATGAATGAAAGCCCTAACCCAGTTACTTCTCCTCAGTGCCTCACAGAACCACAGAGCTCCAACTCAGATACAGGCTGGGAGACCATAGACTTCTACTGCAGGGCTCAGGTCTCCGCCTAATGCCTCAGGGTCACTGGGCATGCCAGGATATATTGTAGAGAGGTTGGATACAGAGGAGGGGAGGAAGGCCCCAATGCTGCAGTCAGTCCAGGCCTGGGTTGGAAAACAAGGCTGAAGTTACTGATTAGCAGGTGAAAGGGTCAAGGGTCGAGGCAAGGGGGCTGAAAGCAGAGTGGAGGAAGCGGCCGGCGGAGAACACTCAAGGCAGAGGTCCCCTCACCTGCGGAGCACCAGCTGTCTCCTGCCCGAGATGTTGCACCAGGTCTGGGCAGCTGTACTCTACCTCTATGGCCTTCTCTTCAACTCCATGAACCAGTGCCCTGAGCACGGTCAACTAACGACGCTGGAGGTGGGCGAGAAAGAGGTATGGGCTGAGGCGAGGCGAAGAGGCCTGTAGTACAAGCTCAAAGTCTTGGGTGGGTAGCTCACGAGGACCAGAAAGCGTGGGAGAGCAGGGAAGGAAGAGGATGTGTGGAAGGCAGGAGGTAAGAGTCCCTGGTGGCTCCTCGCTGCACACAAGCAGGGCCACCGGAACCTGCAGCCCTGACTTGGTCCGCGCAGACTGATGGAAAGGCTGGGTGAGTTTTGTCCCTCTAACTCATCCTCTTGCTCCTTCCACGGCCTCTCCAGTCCCCAGAGCCCCACCTGGGCCTGTGGTACTTCATCGCAGGAGCGGCCCCCACCAAGGAAGAGCTGGCTACTTTCGACTCCGTGGACAACATTGTCTTCAACATGGCTACCGGCTCGGCCCCAAGGCAGCTCCAGCTTGGTGCTGCCATCCGCACGTGAGTGTCAAGGAGGCAGAGGTGCCCCTGGGTGTGTTCTCTGCCCAAACCGTGAGCAGTCAACCCCACCCAGAGTCGAGCTCCACACCCCTCGCCCACTGAACTCAACAGCTTACAAGTCACTTCCTGCTGACAGAAGGGGTCTAGCTAGCCCTTGGCAGCTTGAAACCCAAAGAAAGAGCTGGGAAAGAGCAAGATGGGGAAAGACTAGTGAAGGTTGGCAGTGTGCGGTTGGAATGACACTCCCATCTTCCTACCTTGCTACCACCTCTGCAGGAAAAATGGGATCTGCGTGCCCCGGAAATGGACATACCACTTGACTGAAGGGAAAGGAAGCACAGACCTCAGGACTGAAGGTCAGTTCCCACCAGCCCGCCCGCCTTCCCCATCTCCTCAGAAGTCAGGACTGACCCTAGGACCTCCTGCATGCCAGGGAAGCAGGCCATCGCTGAACTGTATCCCCAGGCCCTTTCTAACATTACCCTGATGGTTGCTGAGCTCACCCTGTAGGTAGCCCAGGCAGGCCTTGAATGCGAAATCCTCCTGCCTCAGCTTGCTGAGCAGCGGGGATCAGGGCCCTCTACTACCTACCAGGCCTGACTCAGCTTGTCCTCACGCTCCTCTCCCAATCCTGACAGGCCGCCCTGACATGAAAACAGACCTCTTCTCCAGTTCATGCCCAGGAGGAATCATGCTGAAAGAGACAGGCCAGGGTTACCAGCGCTTTCTCCTCTACAGTGAGTGGGGGTACAAGGCAGGAGGTGCCCTGCCCCAGGGAAACTAAGAGGCTTAAGGGCCTCCTCCCTTTCAGGGCAGGGTGGGCATCTTCACCAGGTCCTTTGGGAATGGGGAGGGGAGGCAGGGCTGAGAGACAGGAATGCTGACTGGCCTGGCTGCTCCCTGTCCTTCCAGACCGATCACCACACCCTCCAGAGAAGTGTGTGGTGGAATTCCAGTCTCTGACCTCCTGCTTGGACTTCAAAGCCTTCTTAGTGACTCCCAGGCATCAAGGTGAGGGGTTGAAGTCTCCCAAGTCTTCTGTGGGGATTGTAGAGCTAGCTCAGCACAATGTCAGCAGAGCCCGTGGCCAAAGGCAGGCACCTTCAGGATGGGAACATTGGTCCCTCTAATTTTCACAGGCTAGAGTGGTACCAGAAGGACTTGGCGAAGAGCTGTGGAGTCACCAAGCACTGCTCTGGGTGACTCGAAAGAGGCTTTTTTGGGGGTGCTGGAGAGATGGCTCAGCAGTGAGAGCACTTCCAGAGATCCTGAGTTCAATTCCCAGCAACCACGTGATGGCTCACAACCATCTATAGTGGGATGTGATGCCCTCCTCTGGCATAAAGGTGTACATGCAGATAGAGTACTCATACATAAGATAAATAAATCTTTTTAAAAAAGAGGCTTTGGTTAGAAGTGGTGGCACACACCTATAATCTCAGCACTCAGTGGCAGAGGTGGAAGAATCGCCACAAGTTTGAAGCCAACCTGGTCTACACAGTGAGTTTCAGGACAGCTAGGGCTATGTAGTGAGTCTGTCTCTCAAAAATAAAAAATAAAAATAGGAAAAAGATAGGTGTCTGAGTCTCTATAACAGTGGTCACTCAAGACCTGACCCCCAGCCATGGAAAGATTTTGTTGCTGTTTCCTCACTGTGACTTTGCTACTGTTGTGAATCATAATGTAAGCATCTGACACACAGGGTATCTCTGCTATTCGACCTGTGGCGCGGTCGTTCAGTCCCCTCAGAGAGGGTCACACCCCTTAGGCTGAGAACCACTGCTTTAGGAGACCAAAGGGAGGGAAGAGAGGGGTCTCTATTACCAGGAACTGGGCTAAATTTCCATCCTCTACTCTCTCCCTCTCCCGTCACAGAGGCCTGCCCGATGTCCAGCAAGTGACGCTAACCTCCTCTGTGTCCTCGACAGCCAAGTGGGCGCTGAGCTGCAAGGGAGATGCTGGAGACCCTCTGCTCCCTCTCAAGGATAATAAAGACGGTTTTTCAATCCTCATCTCCTGGGTTTCTCCTCAAAGTCACTTCTGCATGTTGACACGCCCCTCTCCCACCTGACACCCCAGCTGCTGGCCACCAGGAAGGACTCTGCACACAGCACCTCTCACATTGTACTGGTGTATTTAGGATTTAGTGTTGCACATTTATTGCTGAGTGACAGGCGCTGTGCTGCCCCCCCCAGAGCCCTTCCCATCTGGTCCTCTCACCAATACGGCCTGTACCATCCCTGTCTCTTCTGGATCCCACTGAGTACCAGACCCTCCCCGCAGGAACCACAACCCCTGTAGCCTCTTCTAGAATCCCAGTAACTCCCACTTCACAGCCCCACCAGATGGCTCTGGTCGGTCCTAGGATCCAAGGGACAGCATGGTCTCCCTGTCACCTCTTCATGCAGAGTTCTCTGCCCTGCCTCTGGCCTTGTCCACCCCCGGGGGCTAGAAAGGACCCCTTGGCCTTCATTCTCCACCATCACTTTTATTTTATTTTGCTCTTAAAAAGTGGAGGTGGGGGGAAAATTGGAGGTGGTGATTTAAAAAAAAAAAAAAGGTGGATAAATGTAAAAGGAAATAACAACAGCTGGTGATTCAAGCGCTGATGCCCCATTGTCCATTACTGGACACCCTAAAAGCCCCGTCTGTCACTCGCAGGACAGGGCTCCTGTGCCTTCGTGATCCTGAGTCTCCCCCCATCCCTGAGGTCAGTGTGCTTACAATCTGGGTTTCTCCACCTTCCTCCTAAAGGCCACACCGCTATCTTCACCCTTTGCCC